AGATAGATAGATAGATAGATAGATAGATAGATAGGTAGATAGATGGATAGATAGATAGATAGATGGATAGATAGATAGATGTATAGATGGAGAGAGAGATAGATAGATAGATGGATAGATAGATGGATAGATAGATAGACATGAAGAGATAAAAGCTGCTGCTGGCTTTCTTCTTCGTAGGATCGCTGAACGAGCAGAAATATAAAGAGACGACGGGCTGATGAAATACTGAATGAATGAGTGTGGTTCAGGGAAGCATTTAACAGAACATCATGTTTTCACGTATCAGCGGTGAGAGTCTTCGATGTAATACTTTTAGACCCTAATGATTTAAATAAAAACTGTAAAAGTCTTCATGCTGGTTAAATTAGTTCAAAACGTGTTATACGCTGATTCACAGACGTCTCTTTCCCAATGTACGTCAGGGAGTAGAACAGGAGTGTAGTACCCTTATTTGGCCACTACTAAAAACTACAACTCCCATGATGCCATGCCTGTTAAAAGTCACAGATATGGGCGACCTGTGTGGAAGACATTGACGACAAAACTCTGTTTAATTCTTGAAACTGATCATCCAACAGAACTTATTTTTCTCTTTTGATATGTGTCGAATAAATTGTATTTTATTCTAAATAACCACACGAGTTGCATATCATCTAACAACTGTGAGTAAAACTAAACATCTGAAAGATACCACGTTGGAAATGTCTGTTTTAAAGAGCGTCTACATTAGCTTTTAGAAACCAACATAGTAAGAAGGGATAACATGCAGGCGAACAGAATCTAACATAATATTGACTTTAAGATGATGTGAGTTTGCAGAGTGAAGAACATGCAGCAGTGTTTGTGAATCAATGTGTCTCAGTGAGATCTCCCGCAGATTAATCCAGCAGCTTTAAAGAGATTCAAACTCCGCAGAGCAGCAATACTCAAATACTAAATACTTGTATTGATATGCATATTCCCTCATATAAATACAAAAACCAATATAATACCACATCCATTACGTTTCCATGCACATAGATCTGATTACATAACACATATCGTAACATAATTTGTGTTTGTGTCTGTCAGGGATCACTTCTCTCTTGAGGAATAGCTCAATGTCACCAGTAGTGACAGCAGTAAACCAAAGTAAAAGAACATGCTATACCAAAGAGAGCGGATCTAATTGTTTATACGTGTTAATCTTCTCAATGCAGGAAGTCTCCAGTTACTGCAGTGCATTATGGTTTCACTTGAACTGTTCTGAGCTTGAACCTAACCCCTCATTAAAGACGGGCAGTTGGGTAAGAATCAGAATCAGAAACAAGTTTATCGCCAAGTACGTTAACACATACGAGGAATTTGTCTTGGTGTCTCTGGTGCATATACATACATACAAAGTTGGGTATGTCTTACTTGGTTACAATAAACTGAATCTACATCCAGATATTGGTACATGAAAAATGTACGATATCCAAACGTTGTTTCAAAAATCTGAATCTGTTCCGGGTTTTTTTCATAGATACGTGATCAATAATCAGATTTCCAACATACAAACTGAATCTATAACCATTTTTCTTAAGCACCAAAGATATAATCTCTAACCAGATTTTTAAAATATAATAACAGAATCTATAACCAGAGTTAAAAATGAAATCTATTATGACATTTTCTTACATAAAAACTGAATCTAAAACACACCACATACTAGATATATGTATTCTCTCTCCATACTAAAGTTCACACAAACCAAAAGCTTGAAACATTTCAACAGTGACTTTATTTGAACATACAAAGGATCCTTACCGCACGTTAAGACTTAGAAATATAAAAGCGTTTTGAACATTGATTGTCTTTCAATGTATTCCTCTTGTCACTGAGACGTATGCTGACCTGCAAACATCCCAATCAATACTTCCGGGGGAATAATTACACTCTGCAATAACTGGACAAATGCATCTATAAAACATGATGCCTAAACATAACATTATAATTTATTGGTGTGCATTAAATGCCAAGTAAATGTAAATGAAGTGAAGAGCATAAAAAACACATGGATGTAAACTTGGAGCTTATTTTTAATGTTCCTTTGAACTTTTTTTGAGGTGTCGACATATTTTGCCATATAATTGATTTTATGTTGGCTTTGCTGAACTTTTTTCGACACGTTCCGATCAGGTGATCGTTAGGGGTAATTGAAAACAGATTTGTTTCAAATGATTCAGACTTCTCCAATCAAAATACAGTAAACTGTTCCTAACTCTTCCTCTCTTCCTCCTCCTCTTCAGCTGGCGGGCGGAGAGCTGCAGTTCAGCTTCAGCTGTGGGAACATCGCTGTGATACAGATCAGATCTGACCTGGTGTCAGACGGCAGGTGGCACAGCGTTCTGTTGGAGGTCAACTCCAGCGCCCTGAGGCTGACCCTGGATCAGCAGCATCCGTCCTCCCTCTCCCTGACGCAGCCCTGCAGGATGCTGAACTCCCAGGGTGCTTTGCTCTTCGCTTCCTCCACTCCAGAACACCTTGGTAACTTCAGCGGCTGCTTGGAGGGCCTGCAACTCAACGGGGAGCCAATCAGAGTGGGGGATGCGTCGGAGTGGGCGGGGCCTGGCAGCAGGAGGGTGTTCGGGTCGTACCAATGCTGCAGCCAGAGGGGGGTCTGCGACACAAACCCCTGTCAGAACCAGGGGGTCTGCGAGGAGGATGCTGGAGGAGGTGAGTGACTGAAGAGGAGACCTGAAGCTATTCAAACTTCCCAAAAAAATATAGGTGTATAGCTTATATCCTTTATTACAAATTAAATCGAAATCTATCTTTATATACAAAAGGTGATTCACATCACAAAATATTACCCCTCTCCCAAATAACACATCACTTCGTGGTTGGAAAAAAAACATTTAAAACCAAAGAAAAGTCAAATAACACAGGACGGAAAAAAAAAGACAAGAAATGGAGAATAAAATATAAAATAAATACAAAATTGAAAAACAAAAATTAAACAAGAATAAAGAAAAAAATTAAATAATTGTACAAAAAATTGTAAATGTTGTACACCCCAGGCCTGCTTATTATTATTATTATTATTATTATTATTATTATTATTATTATTATTATTGCACAGCCTCTCAGTCAGCCATGACAGATTAGTTTGGCCTGAAATCGTTATCACCCTCCGGCCCTTTGTGTGGCTGCCTGCTTATTTCCGTTATCTCTAACTGGCTGAATGCATCTGTCGAAACACAAAAGATAGAAATGGAAGTCCGAGGGGTTTGCAGCACAATCAGTTTCCTCTGCATTGTGTCTCACAATACAGCAGGTTTGACTTATTCTCTACTTGAAATAGCAGCTGATAAAGACTCCTGCTACAGCTTTAGAATTATATTATTCCTTTGCACAGGGTGGATATAAAATCAGACATAAAGCCATAGAAGATATAGATCTCAGGGCTTCAGAGGAGCAAACAAACCCTGCTATGAAAATCTGCCTTCTGTTTCCACACACAGGGTTTATCTCAGAGTCAGTGAACCGGATTATTTATTTTTCCCCCGTCAGTACAATAGGAGCTTTTTCCCTGTGACCCTGTGGACTAAAGGATACAGACTTCTCTCAGGACTTTATTCGTCAACTCGTCAAATCACATTTCATTTTATGCTTCACACACAAATTCTGTAGCGGGATGCCGAGCAACAAATAAATATTATTTACCAAAAGATCCCACCAGGTCGATGAAATGTAATGAGACAGGCGGAAAACCACAGAGGGAATTGTATTATCTGTTCCGTAGAATATAAAGTCGTTCCACTAATGAGGAACTTTATTTCCTAAGATAGCAATAGTGATGTTAAGTAGGAGGGCCGATTAACTTGATGTCCTTTATGCAATTGATTTAGCCAACTTGGTGATGTATACATTTAAAATAAGATGTTTTTTGTGGCTTACTTGAACTTTAAAACTTAAAAAGAAAAATCCACCGATGTTTCTCAACACCGGGGGGGTTACGTTTTCTTTCTTTCTGATTTTTTGCTACTTCGAGTTGGATTTGTTACTTCTTTTACCCTTCAAGAAGTAACTTTCAATGGCACTTTCTTCAAGGATATTTTGGCATCAGTAATTTCCAGTCTGACAGCTTTAGTTGCTTTGCAGGTTCATATCATTAATTAAAAAAAAGGAATACGAATGACTCTCCCTTTTGATCCTGGATGACTCACAGAGCATGATGTTTGCTGTTCATGTTCTGTGGAACTGTTTTCCAATAACAGACATGTCGGTACACAACAACACAGTCTTTACCATCAAATATCAAAGACACTCTCATAATCTCTGGCGGTGAGGGTTGACATTTGCTTTGTTTATTTATTTGCCTTCAGGGGAAACCTGTGGCTGTAGTTTTTTAATATCTCTTTGTGTGTTTTCTGTTTTCTCTGCAGAGGCGCGCTGCAGGTGTTCAGGACTCTTCCACGGCAACCGCTGCGAGCTCAACAACAACCCGTGTGTCTCCAATCCGTGTAAAGAAGGCACGCTGTGTGTGCCCAAGAGTGACGGTTACATGTGCAACTGCTCGCTGGACAACCCTGAAGCACGGTAAACACAGATTTTATTTATTCACTTTAAACATATTCTTAAAATCATGACAAACTACATGACAATACAGGTGTTACATGCTATGCTATTAAACGGATGGTCCAGTAAAGTCATTTCAAAACAACCAAATGTTCATTTTTCTGAAAGAAAGTCGAAAATGATTGAAAGTTAAATCTGGAGTCCCACAGGGTTTGGTATTGGGTCCTTCCGTTTTTATTTTTTTCACTGCATTTTCTAGTTTCTTTCCTGTTGAATATGTGTTTGTTTTCCCTCAAGAGCTGATAATGCATTATATATATTTATTTATTCTCGTTTAACCGGAGAGTTTTAGAAATAAATATTAATTGAAAGGCTGTTTTAGAAACTTTTAGATAAGATTACAATTATCTTCTTTAAAATGAAAATGCCCAACATGTTTGGAATTGTTAGGCCAGTACACCTTCATCCTTATTACGTATACAAAGGTTGTACAACTCAAACACAACCCCTTATTACATGCAACATCACTTGTACTTCATTTGCATTCCTCAAAAGCTGGGCATGGCCTTGAATTTGCATGCATATTTAATTGGGCGCACACTCGGCACTATAACACAACCTAATGTTAATCCACTCACACCACCAGCAGCTTACAAAGAGGAACAGTCACGTTCGAATGAAATTAAAGCAGCATTTGCATATTCCTGCTTTCATTACGGCCTCCTGTGGGATTGCGATGCTCCTCGTGGGGATTATAAGTAATCAGTGACACAGGTAGGGTTGTGATTAACTCAGTGCGTAACCACAGTGATTCTAATTGGATAATTATCTTCACAAGTACATGGGAGGACCATCTATTTATAATAAAGGGGTGCAATGATGACGTACTTTTCAAGGTCGACCCAGAAGTTAGCATCTCCCTGGTTCGCTCGACAAAATAATAAAATGAACTACAGCACGGTCACATGACTTCACCTCACCACCGCTAAGCTAAAGGAGGCTAATGTTGGGCTATAAAGGAACTACAGCACGGTCACATGACTTCACGTCACCACCGCTAAGCTAAAGGAGGCTAATGTTGGGCTATAAAGGAACTACAGCACGGTCACATGACTTCAATGGTTGAATTGAATACCATCCGCATGAATGAGTGCAATACAAAATAAAATAAAGCACTTGACAACTTATTTAATCAAGAAACTTTCCAAAAACTAATCTCCTTGTCTAGGAAAAAGTAATACATGCTGGACTTTGCTCTCTATGCTCTGTAACTACTGCAATGTACTATTCTGTGCGCAGTGAGGGATTTGAGCACCTGGGAAATTATTTTGAAAAGCCGAACACCCGGCAGTTTTTATATAAAACAAAAAGATAGGTTTTGTCAGAATCGAAGCAGCGGCATCTGTTAATCAGAGGTCTGCAGGTCCGTCCTCTGGGTCGTGAGTCTGGAAGTGAAGCTCTCTGCCTTATCAGTAAAATATAACCTTGATTGGACAAGGTGCTCGCCTTCGTGCTGTAATTTTTTATTTAATCTTTGGGCCACAATCCAGACTATTCAGAGTTTCTGACATTATTGTTAACATGTCCTGAATAATGAGTAGCTGAAAGAGGATTTCTGCCTGAGAAAGCAAATCTATGTCCACAGATATCCTTAAAATATTACATCTGAAACTTTTAACTGCATCTTACTGTCAGTTATCCGTGTTTATTTGTTACATGCTAGCGCTGCAGGACTTGATTATAATATGCAATAAGCACTAACGGTAAATAATGCAATCCGATCTTACTTGGTAAAAATTCGCAAATATTAAAATGTGCTCAGTTCTGAACTTTGCTGCCTTTAATTACAACAAATTGCTTGTTGCCATTGGGATTTAGATAAAACATGATACTGTGTATTATGCAGCCCTTTTACATCCATAACAACTGTTAAATGTTAACTTTAATCAACTAACCCCTTGCCCTTATTCCTCCTAGCTTAGCACTTTCTACTTTTGTTGTTATTTTGTTTTACTTGCTTGTAAGCGCTTTGAGCCCCAGGAAAAGTGCTTTATAAATGTAATGTATTATTATTATGACTGGAAGACAAAGGTTGGATTTGATCAACTTTCCTGGATGGACTTGTCTTTACAGATAACACACGCTCAAATGTTTTATGAACAGGAAGAATAAAAGCCTATGAAACATGACTGAGGGGGGGATTTGAACACATAAAGCCAAGGCAGTGATTGGCTGTTTGGACATGTTGTTATTGGCTAACACACAGGCTATAGTTACGAGAGCATTTCTGTGAGAATCAAGTGAAGATTGAAGATTCAACTTATTGTCATTACGTAGTACAGGTATTATGTAACGAAACGGTTTCTCTGCATTTTACCCATCCTAGTGTTAGGAGCAGTGTGCTGCCATGGTGTACGGCGCCCGGGGAGCAGTGTAGGGAACGGTGCCTTGCTCAGGGACACCTCGGTAGCACTCGGTCTTTCCGGGACTTGAACTGATGACCTTCCAGTTGCTATGGACTTCGCCACCACCGCCCTGTTTATGGGCGTGTTTATGGAAACTATCGGAGCTCCAAAACAATTTATAACACGTATCTTAGATTCGACAAAGACATATCTAATAGCCCTTTTCACTATTATTTTTTAATAGTAGTCCTACACATTTGACAAATCCTTTAGGAAAAAAAACAAACACAGCTAATTATTTGTTCACGGTTTGCCCTCTGCTGACACACAATGTCACTGGAGGCGATCAATTGGGGGCATTTTATAGAAGTAACACACAATTCAGGCTCACGATAGTCAGTATTTAACAGCCTTAATGTTAGTTGCTTACAATGTAATATATAAAATCTTTAAAAACATGTCTGTGTAATGTTTGCAGACTCACCTGTCGTTTCAAGTCATGGTAGCCACGTATGTAGGACTGAATAATAATAGCATTCTTCAGTCGCTTTCTTTCATCCTAAAATGTGAAAGACAAAACCCGTTGAAAACATACAATATAATCTTTATATTACATGTTTGGGGTGCATGCATATTCAATTGACTTGACGCTGTAAATTAGTATAGGTAAAAGTGCATTTTTCAAACCTCTCTTTTCCTTCTTTCTTCTTGCGTGCGGTGCAGCAGAGACGATTTCTCCTCCTGCAAAACAAAAGAGAACTTGAAACGACTTTAAACAATAACATGTGATTATTGCTAAGCACATACATGTAAGGAATATGTCTACATGTATGTAAAGAACAGCAAGCATGTTGTCAGTAGTTTGCAACCCAGTATTTTCCCACTATCTTCCCTAACAGGAGTGAAATGACAATTACCTTTTTACTCGCTCCTCCAAGTGAAACATTGGGTCTTGTCTTGAAAACTCCCTCAAAGCTAAACATTGTTAGATCTTTACCATCGACTGATTCAGAGGTCGCCTTCTGAAAGAGAAAATGAAAGACAAGTCCTGATTGAATGCCCATTTATAGAGCAGACAGGGAAACTAGATACAAAGTTAGACAATTGTAATACACCTGTAAACACCTGTGAAGTACACTTTTACTACTGTCACCTGGCTGCTATCACACTATTGTATACAGGCTACACTACACTATTTATTAAAAGGCTGTTACTTGAACTTTTAATATGTTTAGATGCCTGTTAATGAGCATTTTTGCTTTGTTTAGCTATTTACTTTTGCTGGAACAATGTACATTTCTCTCCGTTGGATAAATAAAGTACGTCTGCTTATGACATTAGTTCTAAATGGTGATACAATAGTTAGCTAGCCGGTATATTAGCTAATGACTCAGCAGCTGACAGGATCTAAAACCTGCTTTTTAACCTCATCTCACTCAAAGTATCAACAGAGACACCACATGCAAACACATGTATTGATAATATATCGCTGTATTTATTCACACATTTGTTAGAAACGTAATGTTTGTTGACGTTAGCATTGAAGCTAGTTAGCATAGCAGCTAAAATCGGCTAACTTTAACTAATGTACAACGTTTTTCTTCCTTTTTCCTTTACATATTGGTTCATTAGAAGCGTGTATTACCTGTGAGTGTTGGATACAGGAGTGAAACGGGCAGAATATGTGTGTAAGAGGCAGTTAATCCAAAGTCTTCTTTTCCTCTGGAAATCAACACAACACAGGGGAACAGCCGACGGAGCTGCTTCCGGTTCCGGCCATATCAGCGATGTGATTGGTCAAAAGTCATGTCAATCACATCTGAGGCTAAAGCCCGCCTCCTATCTAGATGTATTGAGAAGGTTCTGAGACTCTACACTGTTATTGTATGATAAATGAGTGGTTTAATACTTAAATAAAAGCACTCAAATAATGTAAAATAATACAATTAAGTAAATAAAATGAAGTCATATCACAGTTGATACAAAATAATCTTATTACAAGGTCGATTAGCTGTTATAAATCAGTACAGGGAGATGGACTTCGCCTTTTTCACGGGTCTGTTAATGTTAAAATATCCATTATTCTGATGATTTGTAGAACTTTAATAAACCTACATGTAAATACAATTGCTCCATGTTAAACCCTAATCACTTATTTACTTTAACTTTGGTTCTAACTATTGCAAATGGAGGATATAAGCGATCGCTTCCATGGTGCAGATTGACTTCTTACAGATAAATAAACCAGTATAATACACCTCAAATGACAACATCCTTCCAGACTGAGGCAAAACAGTTATATCCCAGTGTCACATATATACATTGCTCATGCTAATTAGGTAATCCAAACTCTGCTGTATAGAGGATTCAAGTAAATATGAGTATATTACTGCTTTATTTCATGTTTAAATAAGTAGTTAATTGTATTATAGTTGTTGTTTTTACAATACCTTATAATAATCGGCACCTTCTTGAGTTCTTGAGTGGATGAACGGGTAATAACATAATTGGGGTCGGATTTTGGCTTAGCGAGCTAACTTCAGGGAAAACTCTGGGTTTCCGGTCCTACGACGCTGGTTCACTTCTTATCGGGCTACATCTCCATGGTAACTTATGAGCAGTTCCAGGATAATAGATCAAGTCAGTGAAAGCACCGCCTGCTGACCGATCAGAGCTCAGTGTGCAGAGTTTTTTCCGTTGCAGGAAAGACGGCCAGCAAAAATCACCGACTGTGTGAACGTGAACGTTAATAGAATATCACCTCCTCTCACTTAAGCAACACATTAAGTTGACGAAACACTCGAGTAATGTAAATGTAATTAAAGTCAGATCGTGTCTTAGACGGGGCAGTGATATCATAAACCTGTTAATGTACGCATTCAAACACTTTTTCTTTTACCAGCTGTACGATACCACCCCTTTCATGTGAACGTGCACCTAACTAGATAGGACACGGCTGGTTTGAGCGATCCACTTGATAACCAGTGTAGGATTGTTTAGCGCGTATGTTTTGGATTAGGCCAACCGGCTAACTCAAACATATGCAGGTTATGTTGAACCGCCTACGTCGTACAGGCCTATAGGTCGCTTTACATGGTGAACAAACAAACAAGACGAGGACACAAGAGAGGACACGAGAGAGGAGAGAAGAGGACATAAGAGAGGACACGAGAGAGGAGAGACGAGGACAATAATACTATATATAATACTGTAGGAGACGTGAATATCTCCATTCAAAGCGTATTGATAACACCTTTTAAATGTAGGCTTCTTATAACATGGCACGGGTGTTACATATCGAAATGTTCAGGACAGTCTCTGGTCTGCTATAAATGCAAATGATTCACCTTAGAGCACTGTGTGATGAGATAAGTAGCTCTAAAGCTGAACATTTGACATCGGAAAATCTTCAAAACTCTTGTGAAAATACAAATGTACTCATGTCATCCAATTTTGTTGGTGTTTTAGATTTGGTTACCAACGTCTTAGGATCACAAAAGTAGTGAAATATTTGAATTACACTGTATGTAAATGTGTAATTCATGTCTAAAATCTAAGCAAATTAAATTGGACGTAAAAATAGCTGTTTACTCACGGCTCCTACTACCTTCACGCACAGCAGGCGCGAGCTGAGATACAATCAGGACTGGAATAATCGACTTCATAAGTGACATACGCCAAGGGTTCATGTGACTGAGTACAAATAGGCAAATTGAGCATTCCAACATACAATTAAATTCCCCGCAAAATAGACACGTTATTTTTTAGCCCAATAATGCAGCCAAACCTTGGCGTCATCATTCCTCCCAATAATTTAAAGGGGTTATCTCAGCCTGCGGCTGTGATGATTGAATTTCACCGAAGAGAACCTGATATATATACTATTCTTCCTAGATTATCTCACATTCGATCTGATATTAAGGACAGATCAACTGATTATGATCGACCACAAATTTAAAAGGCAGTTCCTGGGACAAGACAAGGCCATCAGGTATGTTTATGATAGTTAGAGGGGTCCCTTTAAAAAACATTCGCCTTTTCATAATGAAGCGAATTTACCCCAGGGCTAATTCAAATATATACGAAACCCTCCCGATTTGTCAGCTTTGATTTGTATTTTAGTGTTAATTGTGAAAGTAATTACAGAGTCTTCCGTTTCCATCCTGGGTTCCTTCTTATTAATTCCTTCTCGCCCTGGATGTGATGAAAGGAACCATAAACTCCTGCTGTGATCGGGAATGCGGCCAATACTAAATGGCCTCCATCACTTTCACTTCTGGGCTTTAAATAGAAATAGTTCATGCGGGCCCTTAATGAAATTAAACCGCACGGGACAGAGAGGCTGTTACAATACATCAGCAGCAGGCATGAGCGCCGCGCGCGGCGCGCCGCCCCCGGGGGGCGGGGGCGGCCCGCGCGCGGCGGCGCGCGGCGCGGCGGCGCCGGCGCCCCGGCGCCGACACGAGGCAGCTGAAAGGGGACCTGTCTAAAACTGACTCTCGGGGCGACGGGGCGCAGACGTGCGCCGGCGACTGCGGACCGCGAGCGGTTTGCGGCATTTTGGAAACACAAAATAAGTGGACGTTGAGTTGAAGCGGAAGTGTTTGCGGTGAGAGGTGTGTGCGGCGCGGCAATGCTGCTCTATAGCTAGCTTTGCGACGAGGTGTGAGAACAAAAAACTCACTTATAAGTTTAGTTAAAATAAAGATGGACGACGCCGCGGAGGGAGAGCCGCAGCGTACAGAGAGCGTGTGTGTAAAAAGATAAGGCAAGAGGAGATTCGACCCATTTTTTTTCTTCATTTAAGTAAGCGTGAAGTTTACGCTTGAGGTTACCGAGATTGGGGGTACTGTGTACTTTAATAACATATAGCTACCTATACATATAGCTGAAAATCAAGGCCGAAGTATTACAAAGGTATAAATTAAGATTAGATCCACTTTTAGTCATGAGATCCGGGTTTTTAAAAACGGGAAAGGGGTTAACGCACAAACAGGTACTTTTCCTTGGTATCACTTTGAATGCCAAATTCTTATCTTATATTTTCACAAGTGCGTCTTCTACTCTTACTCAGACTTCCCCAGCAGAACCCGCTCCTCCAAACACACCGGAAGCGCGCACATTGACAATTGAGCAAGGCAGGAGAAAGTTCTGTGCAACCAGATGGAACGGCTGACAGGCAGGTAGGCCATCCGTTACTATTAGCCGGGGGCCGGCCTCAGATGATGTGGTCGTCGGCTTATACAAACGGCTTCGGCACAGATGACATTTTTTTTAATGTTTTATTGTCCAAAAGGCACTCTTTTAAGAATTGTTTTCATTTGCTATGCCGGGATGTTAGAAGAGCATTCCGCATGGAATATAACAAAAAGTGTTTCTGAAGTGAATTACCTACCCTTTAGTACGATGTGGGGTACTGTGGCTTTAATAATAAGCCTGATGATATAGACGTGAACAATACGCAGAAGCTATACAGAAGGCAATTTAAATTAGATCGCACTTATAGTCTACAATCCCAATTGCACTAATCCGGCATATTATAATGGGCCCCTTTCACGGCCAGCAACAGTAGCCTTTTTTTGGTAACTAAGTATACGTTTTCGATGCCAATTCTTATTGAACTTTAGGCATTTTACAATGTATTTCTCTTACTTANTTAAAGTAGAGACACTACATACTGATATACACCTGAACATCAGCAGGAGAGGACTCTTTAAAGTAGAGACACTACATACTGATATACACCTGAACATCAACAGGAGAGGACTCTTTAAAGTAGAGACACTACATACTGATATGAATATGAATATGAGCAGAATATGGCCCCTTAAATCACCAGATTTAAAGGTGCAGTCCGTTTTTTTTTTTAAATCTTAAAACATCTTGTCGACCTCCTCCTCCTCTCATCTATACTTCCTTCTTGCTATCTTCCTTTGACCTCCATCTTTCTTTCAGTCCCTCCATCTTCATATCTACTCTTAAACCACTTCTCTCCCGGATCTTTTATCTGTTTCTCTCCTCTTCGTCCATCTTAAACTCTCTTGGTTTCTCTCTTTTCCTCCATCATTTGTCTCAGCCTCACCTCTACTTAAAAACCACTCTGGTTTCTCACCTTGCAACTTTCTCTGCTAATGTTCTCTGTGTCTCTCTTTAATATTTCCCTCTCTAGCTCGAGATGTTGTGCATGAAGGCAGGAATTTGAAGCTCGTCGCTGTGTTTCCTGTCAGTCAAATACCATGAGCTCAAATCAAACACACTGGGATTTATAATCTTTTGTTGATTATAATTAGCGCTTAATTGCTATCAGCAGGGGTTAAATTGGGCTGGGGCTGTCCGGGGCTAAGACCCGGCAAATAGGACGATGCTCTGACGTCATCACCCTCGCACATTTGTCATATGTTTACAAAAAACATATACGTTAAAACTTTTCTCGTTCTTAATATAGACTATTTAGGGTCGATATGTGTTAACTTTAAAATAGCAGCTCTCTGTGACCGGATATAGTTTTTTCGGCTTAGTGAACATGTCTCTGCTCCGACCGGACTCCGCTGCTCCTCCATGCAGAGTGTGTGTGTGTGTGTGTGTGTGTGTGTGTGTGTGTGTGTGTGTGTGTGTGTGTGTGTGTGTGTGTGTGTGTGTGTGTGTGCGTGTGTGTGCTAAATGCTGAGAAATAATTAAATAGATTACAGTGAGATCTAGGGAGGCGTGTGGCGCAGTGGATAGAGCCTTGGTGTTGGGATCAGGGGGTCAGGTTCAA